CAAAAACAAGCTTTTTTTCTGTCACAACAATTGTTAAGACGTTCAAAAAAAACTACTTGCTCAGAAACAAATAGACTTTTTAAAAACTTTTTCTAGCACATAAGAAATTTTTTCATGCATTATATTGTTCTTCCTTCATATGACAAGTTTAATGTCACATTTTATTAATCAGACCAGTTCTTCATGTGCACTCCTGTACACCATATTCTTTTTTTTCAGAAGAAGTTTTTTTTTTTTAGAAGACGGTAATAGCAGTAAAGAAAAAACCCTGGTCACTAAGGTAGAAGCTAAACTTCCAAAGAAGCCAAAACCACTGCCTGTACCCCCGCTACCCATTCTTTTTGGACTGCCGAACAGTAAGTTCAGATTGAATAATACCAGTTGCCTTTCGAAAATATTAAAACTTGCTTCCGTAAAGACTGCGCCACTGAACAGTCGTTTTACAGCAAATGTAAACAAAAACAGTTAGATATATGCAAGAACCACTTTTTCTGAGTTTTTAGTAGATCAACGACCAGAGCTTCCGCCGCAACATGAATCTAAATACAACGGCCAATTTGCACCTGATGGAAGTTTTATTGGAACTCCAGCCAAAATTGAAGTTGAGCCAGCATCAACTTCTGTAAGTTCAGATAATTAAACGCTGAAAACAAAATATAATCTTTTTAATCCATCAACAAGAGCGAGTTCTGTCTAAAAATTTACTTTTGCTTAAAATTGTGATATTTGATACGATATTATCAACAACTTTTAGTTTGAGGCAGACGAAAAAAGTAGCAAACAAGACACAAAATTCAAGAAATCTGGTATTATGCAATTCCTCGAAACAAAAGTACAAGACGATGCCAACAGTCAAGAAGAAGTACTCAAATTACCACTATAATTGCCATTACTGTGCCTTCTGGTGTATTTATCAATGCCTGGTCTTTAAGAGTTGAAAATCTTTAATCAATTAACTATCAGAGTTTTCTCTAAGTCAAATAACTGTTCAGGAAGAACAGTTTATGCGTAAAACAAGATCAGAAAGCAATTTCTTCAAACAGCGCTCTCAAAGATCTGGCGATCAAAAGGCAAGTCCAGCCGCTAAGCCAAACGTTTTTGTAGACGACGCCAAAATAAACGATGACATTCACGACGGAGAATTCACAAAGGTATACATTTGATTCTAATAGAATTCAACAAAGTTTAACTGCAACTAATATCTGTGCTAGAATGCACCAAAAAAAATTTTTTTTTGAAAACAACGAGATATGAGCGTAATAAACTTAGTATATAAAAAAGTTATGAGAAATCAAAAAAGACATTCCTGTAAAAGAGTACCTTTTACTTTGTATAGTGCCTTAAAATGCAGTCAAAAACATAAAAAAAAAAAAAAAAAAAGATAAGAAGAATTAAATAAGTAGAAAAGAGTAAAAAACTGAAAGGAAATTTGAAACCAAAATGACCGCATTTTCCTCTTATAAATTTGACTAATCAAAAAAGTTTATCAGTTAACATCTGGTTGCTAATTTTACAGAGAAATAACACAAAAAACGATAGGGAATTCAGAAAACGATTTATGAAGTACGCACGTGTGGAAGACGATGCTGATTTGGTGCAAACAAGTGAGGAAGATGGTGATGACAATTTGTCTAGCGAGGTAATTTTTGCACAACTTAAAAATTAATTTATACTTAATCTTACCAACAAAAATTTACAGAATTCTCCTAAGCAAATTCTAAATTATTACGCCGGCAATATTAGTTAGCTGGTGTGATCGTTCTTGAAGAGTCTGTGTAGTTCAAATTATTTTAATATCCAACTGATCATCTAAAGTTATATACCTTTTGTACAAAGACAGAATACAACTAATTAATTTACAATTGGGAGTCAGTAAACAGAGAACATGAACAATCTGACAGATATAAAACTTTTAAGTTCTAGTTAGTATTAATTGAATGACTGAGAAGCGAGACACTGAATTAAACCACAGTAGAGAACCTTCTCCGTTGTCGCTGATTCTGCGCAGCATTTTGCACTCCAAAATATAGAAAAACTGCTACAGTTCTCCACATAACTTTTGAGGAATGTTATAAGCTTTTGACAGTATTTTCGCCTCCCTTCATATAAGGCACTTTTGCAGCCTGGTAGTGTTGTGAAAAATATTTCGGAAACAGAACAGTGTATCAGCAGTAGATAAACTATGCAGAGAAGTTAGTAAACCAGAGACGTAAAAAAATGGATTAGACAAATAATTCCCGTCCACAAAGCCGAAATTTGGTTTTTAGGAAGACGACTTCAAGATAAGTGGAAGAACTGACTCGAAGAGACGCTACGGTACAGCTCGGCAACGTATAGATACTACGAGTAAGTTGAGCTATAAAATCACTTTTTGAGTAGAACAGCTGTTGCGATTTCAATACTGCTGTTTATAAGCAAGCAAAAAGTCACTTAATTAACGTTTATATATAATAAGAAACAGGAAAGAAATTAAGTCAGATCACCGGTCAATAAAATAATTTCTGGCAAACAAAAATCTATTTGTAAACTGTAATTTCCCAAAATATTGTAGAATAGCTTGCGTAACTAGAATTTCCATTTAAATTATCTACCTCAAATATAAAATTACTGTACAAGAAAATCTTGCAAAGTGGAAGAATAATGTAAACCTTCTTAAGTATTTTCAATTTCAAAAAATATTTAAAGAGCATAGAGAACGTCGACCAAGTTACACATCTGCAAAGGTGTAAATGCCACATGCAAAACGTTTTTGAGTGAATGACTGTTAATTAATTAGGACAGCAGAAATTACAATTGCAGAAAATAAAAGAATCAAATTGATTTCCTGTGCTACTGATGGGCTAAAGGGTAACTGTAGAAAACTATCCGCTTTGGCTCTCAGAAGTCAAAGCGGTAACGAAATGGTTGCAAGCCGAAATGATGCTTTAATTAACAGTGATACAGGCAAGAGGTTTTTTCCGCAGCACTTCAACAAATAAACGGCACCCTCCTCGTTATCGGCACTACCACCCAACTTCCAGCACTACTTTTCCCAAATAATTGCATGTCGTCCAGTACCCCAAAATCATTTATTTACATAAATCGCCTGTCACCCACTGTATACCTACACACAAACATATACACGATTACACAGAAGCAAAAATGAACAAACCGTTTCTTCTGCATCTGATATGTTGCATGCCAGAAAAAACATCCCAAAATACATTCCACCTAACTGAAGAAATGAAGCACGGTAGGTAACAGACGAGAAATCTGTCTATTCTGTAAACATCACTGAAAAATACAACAATTTTAGATATAAGGAAAGTGTACAACAAACATGATGGCAGTGCCTCCACTAAGACATTCAACAAACATCTGGCACATG